TCACTCTACCTGTACATATAACACAACCAGTGCTGCAGTGATAGATCAGAATGATACAGCTTATAACCTTTACTCCACAGATGATGATGGTTTACTTAATGACAGTAAAACATAGTATTACAAAAGCAAGAAAGCATTATTTTTAAAGCTGTACACAATGTTTTTATTTATTTTTTAAATGTAAGCCCACCTTAGGTCAAAGACCTCTTTGTCAGCAGCATAATAATACTACAACAAAAGCTATTATAAATATATTTGCAATAAATTGGAAGTTCGATGCAAGATCAGACTGAGCAATAAATAGAGGGGAGAAAGAAATCCCAGATACTATTTAAAAACTGTAGAGTTTCACAGTGCTTATCCCAAGATCCCATATTTAGCTTTAAGAAAACTACCTGCAGGTAAGATGGCCAGAATACTAAAACTATAGAGATAATTAGGCTCTTATTTAACATTCTTTGAGTTTATATTTGACGACGTTCCTGCATGTAAGTCTGTGATCTAGACAAACAAGTAAACAGCAAGTAAAAATAATCCAAAGTCAGCAGTTTAGAGTCATAATATTACCTCATTTAAGTTCACAATATATTATATATGTGTTTAATGTGCTTCATTTCTTCATTACTGGATCTGATGCCTTTTTAACATATCAGTAGTAGGAATATTTCTGCTGAGCATGAAAATAACGAGTAATCATGTAGTTTAATGAGCCTGTGTCATCATGGGGTTACAAGAGCAGATTTCTTTGATTTGAGACCTCATAATGTTTAATAACGCTACCTGTGGTGAGTTCTGGCTGTAGGCCTCCATGTCCGTACTGCATGTCAGTTGAGTAGCAGATACAGTATGTAGTTCATGTCGAGACTGACAATTAGTAGGAAGACATGTTAAACAGATGTTCATCCTGATAGGCTTGTTGGAGAGGTTTCCTCTCATAGTACAGCCATATCCTCTGGTCTGATTTTGAGACACACACACGCATCTGCGGTGGGGGACCCAGCTACAAATCTCTCCAATCACACATAGTTTAATCTGCACGCCTTTCAACAAGGATTACTTCATGTACACAAGGCTGTGTGCTCTCTCTCTCTTTCTCTCTGTCACACACACACACACACACACACACACACACAGCTAATTAGGGTCCGTGGTTTTGGAGTTGCAGATAGTTTTGAGGGCTGCAGGGTCTGAGGTTGGTGCTCATCACACGATCAAACACACTACAGAGACTCAAGCCTGTCTGTGTATCATAGATTTAAAATGTGTTTCTTGAACTAACAATGCTGGAAACAGTGTGGTTCCTATGGTGGTGAGTGAGGGAGAAGATGGGATGTTGCTGTAGCATTCACACACTATTTGCCAACAGTTTCAGGGGATTTAAGATCAAGTTCTGGATGCCAACTCACAGGGAACACATTTTGTTTGTATGTGAATTCAGAATATTTTGTGAGGTGATATTCGGTGTCCAGGCTAAGACTTCATCACGACCGCAAACACACAACAAGCTGAGCACAGCAGAGACTGGGGAGTGACGACAGTAAACTCTCCCAGCATACGGCTCAATCCCAAGCACAGCACCTCCAGACATTGTAAGAAATATACTGTCAAGTGAATTAAGATGGAAACATTTTTAAATTCAACAATCCACCTGTTATGCAACATCATACTAAGACAAGTCAGCTACATTGCAAATCATTAGCTTGGATCTGGCAAGCTTCTTTAGAAATGTTATGTAACATCAGCATAAACACAACAGATTATCAACACTGTAAACCACAGAAGAAGATGTATAATAATAAGAATAATAATAAGAATAGTAAGGCAAGCTAACAGGTAAACACATTTCTTCTCAGCTGAATATTAAGTGTATGGACACAATATGAACGTGCACTTAAGCAACTATAACAGGGAAATAATTGTGTAAGACTAAATGTGAACTGAGAAAATCATGTTTAGCTGGAGCTAAGCCAACAAGTCATGCTATAATCTATAGTAGGAAACCGCCCAAAACAGCAATAATCTTTAAACCCATAACATTTATAATACTCAGACATGATGAGTTATTTGTGAAACAACAAGCACAAGAACACCATTAAACCAGCATTAGCAGCTAACTTACTTACAGTAGATAGTTGAAGTGAAGCAGGGTCTTCCTCAGTTGACAGAGAAATCCTTTTCTGTAGAGTAGTGGTGGTCCAAAGATAGCAAAAAGCAGGACAGGAAACTCCCTTTGCACTTTTTAAGTTATGTTTGAGTTTTTTTTTTTAATTAAATGCTACATGAGCTAGTTTAATTTAATGCGCAATTGTAGCGGCACTGACGCAGCAAGAAAGTGGGCGGAGCAATGAAGTTTAACCACAAGTATTTAGTTACTCAAGTACTGTACTTATTATACTATAACTTTAGGGTAGCTGTACATGAGTATTTACATTTATGGATTGTTATTCTTCTAAATAAGAAGATAAATACATTGTGGGTTAATATTTCACAAAAAAATATGTGATCAGCTTTAAAAAATATGGTGCATTTTTATATCCAATTACCCACAAGTATATATAGTAAATAATCTAGCTCCACAAACTACACCTTAAAGGACCACTGTGTAGGATTTAGTAATATAATACTATGGTTGGGGGACTGACCCCAAAAGCACCAGGTTCATCGTGTAGTTTGTAACCAGTGTTCATCGTGTAGTTTGTGATACACCACTGAAGTACAATCACACAGCTTCTGGATTATTACCTGTCTTGCCTACCTGGGAGGTAAATTAAGCGATTAATAAAAGCTTAAATAATTTAAGCCCCAGACCAGGGCCCTCTACCAGGTTAACCCTCCCATATCTAAAAGAAGACATTCTGCTTAATGAGTGCTTTTACTTTTAATACTTTTAACATTGTTGATAACACTTCTGTACTTGGTTCACTTATGGTATTTCTACTTTAGTAGAATAATTTGAACACTTTATCCACAGCTGCATATTTTCTTCTCACACATGTACATGCAAGCACAACTTTGGTCATAAATAATTACTCTCCCCATCAAATTGCATGCAAGGCCAGGCAAAACAAACTGTGTTTTTTTGTCTTTTATTTCTCCTCTCTGCAGACTATGCCTGTAGGGAAGGAGGGATGGAGGCTTATTGTGACTGGAACATGCTGGCTATCCTTCAGCGCTCTGTGTAAATACTGGCAGTGTGACAATAGGCCAGCTTGAGCTGAGGAGGCTGTCACCTCAGCATTTATCAGACTGTGAATCTGTGGTGCTGTCTCTCCCACTTATCACTCACACACACAGCATTGAGACATTTGTCAGGACCTGAAATAAATATCTGCAAGAACTGAATTGGATGAAGAAATAACTTCTACTCGCACTCTGACAGATGAAGCACACAGGATAAGTGATAGTCATTTCTAATTCTTTTATCACTATCTCTGCATCTCGCCTCTGCTGTGGGAGTGACAGTTCTTTTCAGATCTCCTCCTGCCTGAGAGCAGATAACAGCCTGTCTGAGTGCTACTTGTTACAGGATGAAGCTACCCTCATCACACACACATGCAATCCCCATCTTCATAAATCTATCTTCAGCGGAATCTACTCCATCTCTATATGCACCACTCCCCTTCTAAGTACCTCCAGTTCACTCCCCGCTGATGAATAGCAATCAAGTGCTGCTTGTAGGTGAAAATGTCACACAAACTGATATTTACATTTCAGTCATTATCACGACCCTCATGACAGACTCATGCGATCCTATTCTGTTGTACGGGGACACTTTGAGGTTTCAGAGGTGGCTTTCCAACCATCGTGTGCATCTTCTCCCCACTATCCCTCATCAAGGCAGAGCTTTTGTGTTCATCTCATACCTTCATTTTGGAATTGAAGAGATGCTCTCGAAGGAGAAAAACAAACACCTCCCATTTGTATTCAAATGGTTCTTCGTGACTGTCGTTAAGTAAAAGTTTTATTATCTTTTTGATAAAAACATGATATATTATGTACTGTTTTCTTACAGGAACAGTCTCGTCTCCTCATCACCCTCTACACTGAAACTGTCAGCCTTATCACAGATTGAGATGACAGAGAGTACAGAGAACTGACCCAGGGCTTTGTGGATTGGTAGCAGCAAAACCGCCTCCAGATCAATGCAGGAAAATCCAAAGAGATGGTGGTACAGAACATACTCTCCCCGTATGCCAGTGAACATCCGGGGAATGGACATTGAGATAGTGAAATGTTACAGGTGCCTGGGTGTTCAGTTGACTAATACTGGTCTGGACTGACAATACAAATGCACTATATAAGGAAGGCCAGAGAAGACTTTGGTCTTTTGGAGCGGGCACTCCTGAGGACCTTTTTTGACTCTGTGGCTTCTATAGAATGGCCTTTCCTTCCTTCCTGCTGCTGTCAGGCTTTATAATCAATACCACCCCCAGTACCCACACACAAATTCACAATGTGCAATAATGTGAATTCAACTGTTGAGTCTGTTTACTTATATCTTGCTTTTTTTATTGATGCCGCGAGTTCCTTTGCTGTGGGATTCATCAAGTATCTTATCTTGAACTCTTCTCGCTTAAATATTTATAGTATTTGGCCTTTTATCATATATTCTTTTTCCTGGTCGAAGTACTTGAAGTTGTGGAATCTTTTAACCCCTGTCAGTTGCCTCATCATGCTTTAAAATCTTGCCTATCAAAGTGCTGATTGCCAGATTTCTCTGTGTTCACATTATTTGGTGTTTCCTCTGTAAAGCAGCACTACACAGATGAAGTATGTTGTGCGATTGTGGATACGACTCCTTCCCTTCACAATCCTTCATCCAGGTAATTGCTGCAAATATTTGAGTTTTCAACCCCGCTGTACAAAATTGTGCAGGTAACATTGCCATCAAAGCTGTAGTAGACCTCAGGGAAAACCTTGTAGATCAGCTTGTTTATTATTAGGGAATTCAATTGCACCTTTAAGAGCGTGTCAGGGAAGGAATAACACCCTTAGGCAACTAGTGTAAATACAGGTTTATTAGGGACGAAAATGTTCCATGATAAACAAGAGGGAAAAAACATTCACAGTACATTTCATCTCCTGCATGGTGCATTGAAACATTGTACAGCTTCAAACCCTCATCGGTGCTCTGCACAAACAGCCGCTTTACAAAAATACTCTCCTTAAGAAGAAAAAAAAAAAAGGTAAGTGCACAGGGGGGCATATTGGCCATTGTAAAATTAGTTTTTTCATCTCCCTTAAATTTGATCCATACCAATGCAATACAAAACATGGCAACAAGCTACAAATATAAAGCTGACATCTCAATCTAACAGTCCCTAAAGCCTGCATTTGTTTGTGTAAATTGACATGTAAGAACAATAACCCCTCATGAGCATTAATGACACTTGCAGCTCTACACTTGCATAACATACAGTAAACCAGCCAGCTTCACACTGAGGTCTGATGGTTAAAAACACATTGTGAACACAAAACAGGAGGCAATTGGGCAGGTTCTAGGATACATGAGGGTTGACTGGTTGAATTAGGGTGTGTGGATGGTAAACGACTGGTCCGTGGTAGATTCGGTCAAAGGTGATTGGTCAGATGAAGGTCCTATGGAAAGTTATTGGTCTTTTTATGGAGAGGTAGGATAGTTGTCATGGTCAACGTATCAGGTCCCAGGATGAAACTATAATAACTTACTTCTTATAGTACTATTAGTAAAAGTACTTACACAGGTATTAAAAAGGTGAAGACTGCTGACCTGTCACCTCAAACGCCATTGTTCCTCAAACCATGCGCCAGGAAAACGTATTAACAATTCATCTGCTGTGTCATGACCATAAAAGTAAAGTAAAAACAGGATGGCAGCAATCCAAACTTAGCCAAAAGTTCAAATTGGATGGACAAAGTTTCTGGTGTTTTTAGTTCGGTTGGCTCAGCTGCGTAAAGACAGGTGTAGAGTGGGAGCTACTGTCATTATGTCAGTGATCTTTTTAAGAATTACTCAAGTCCTTATACAAAAACCAATCAACTAGATTTGTGCTGTTGAATCTATCTAGATCGAGTGTAAAAAGTGGACGTTTTGGCACAAGGTTATATTTATGGCAATTGTTGGGGTTTAAGAAAATAACATAAAAAGGACAATTTAAATTCAGAAATGCATGCTTAATTATAATAATGTCAAACAATTCATGTATTCTGAAATGTGGCACCAAATTAAATGAATTAACTGCATTCTCATTGTAGAGTCTTTACACAACAGTCAGTTTAACATCTGGCCCTACTTTACAAACAGTGATCCTTCATTTCCCTCCAGAGGACACACATATTGGAGTGCATGAGCCACATTCACTCAAACAAAAACCCTTCTTTTACCGTAAAGGCCAAAGGCTAGCATCACATGTACTGTAATATCAGAACACACAGGATGATGGGACACACCTGATTACAAAAACATCATAAAATCCATTCAGCTATCGGAACCATTAAGAGTGTTTGTTTGTAGGAGTAGCACAGTCTTTACTAGCATTACAGGACAGCTGTGGTGTCACACTGGACAGAGCCATTTGGTTTATTGTGTTAAATGCTCGATAGACGAGGTTTGAATGGATTTTTAAACTGTTTTTGGATCCATGTGTAATTGCTGCACTGTGGAGGTCACAAGACACACTCAAGTAAAAGGAAAAAAGCAAATAGCATGACTAGATTTTTAATAACTGGTTATGGCTTCTAAAACGTGATCACATTGACATTTTCTAGGTTTCTGGTAATTACTAGACCGAATACAAAAAATCTCTCAATACAGTATAAAACTGGAACTGAAAGAACTTTACAAAAATGTTGCGCTATTCTGCTCTTTTTTCTTTTTACTTGTACAGAAAAAGAAGGTGAGCAAGAGCATCTGAGCAATTCGATCTATCAAAGGGAACATCAAAATTACCATAACTATAATAAAGGAAAACTCTGGAGGAAAAAAAAAGGGGGAGAAAACAGTCTTTACAGTGTGGAAAAAACCTTAGTGCTTAAGTCTCTCACACCTCTTTCTCAAGCACCTTTATCGCTCCTTAATTCCAATTCATCTATGATTTTCTTTTACCTACTGACTATTTCCTAAAAGGTTTTAACAGTGATATTTAACATATCTAACATATTAATGCGTCTACATTTCTGATTGTTGTCTTACATTAATATAAGCGTCTAAGATGAAGACGACACTCTGTCAGATGTTCCCAAGATCACAGACCACATGCACGTGGTTGACTTACCCTTCCTTTAATATCTAGAAATAAAAGCACATGACCACAGTGGGAGCACGAATAGACATACTACAGCATCTGCATCGCTTGGCTTTTTTTGTTATGTTTTTTACAACAATTGTTGTCATTTCTTTTATCTATAGATGATAGGAAGGGTGTGCCAAAAACCTTTTATCTTAGTGACCATCTTTGCTCAATTGGCTGAGTCACAATTGTACAAAGAGGATCTTATAACTGAGAAATATTTGGAATGAAGTTTCACTTGTTGTCTTCTACCTCAATGTGTGCTCTTAGTGGAGGTGTCTGCTAGCCCCAGAGCTGCCAACCTTACTGGTTCTGGGTCTCGCGGACCTTGGCTTGCAGAGCATCGCAAGTCTTCTTGGCGTCGCCTAGCAACATTGCAGTGTTGGGCTTGTAGAAGATGGGGTTGTCAACAGCTGCGTATCCCACACCCAGCGAGCGTTTCATCACGACCACCTAGCAAGGGAGGAGATAGAGTCACATAGACAGACACACACTCATTAGCCTTGGACTGGACATTTAGATAAGTGATAAAATAATTTTTATAAAGTAAAACCAGAAGTGTAATGCCAGTAAACAATCTGAAAACCCTGTTTAGTTTGTATTAAGTATACTACTAGTATAGTAGTATGTGGAAGTAGTTTATGTTTGTGTGTGTTTATGAATCCTTGGGCAATTGTGAATGACTATTTATCATTTTGAAGGCAAGAAACCTCGTATTTCCAGAACTTTCCAGGAAATGAATAACAATAATTTTCAATAATATTGAACACATTGTTGTCAAATTGGTTTTGTTGCTTTAAATACTTTTCATTGGTTAAATATATGCAAAAAAACCCACAGAGAAACATAAATAACAAAAGTGTTGATTTATGAAAAAACAAAAAGTGACAATTTGTGTGATTTATTTTTTTGTATCTATGCACAAATTTTTGTCTTTGTGTGTTTTGTCTGTGCACCTGTATATGTGTCTCCGTATGAGTGTGTGTGGTTGGGTAGAATGTCCTCTTTGATTTCCCCCGGGGAGGTGGGGGAAGTGTGTGGAAAACTAGTGGGAGTACTGTATAAATCCCAGATCTTGGAGCGGTGCCAGTGGGATGCTCTGAATGTCGTCATTCCAAACAGCGACACAGTCACCACTAATGGGATCAGGATGGGACTGCACCTGGAACTGGAACTGTAACAATCTGTGTATGTGAGCCTGAGCCCATTTGTCTGTGTGTGTGAATGTGAGTATGCATTTCTTTAGGTTTTGTGTGTGTGTGTGTGT